GACTTATTCAGAAGGGATGTAGTTACGATACTGTTGTCAAGTCATTAAAAATGGCATTTTATGGAATTATATTTAGATTCACTTATAGGGTCTTTGCGTCCTAATTAAACACATTTATTCTAAAACCAGTTATTGACATGATACGGGTAATGACTTATGTTTTTCACATATATTTTATGATGGTATGATATGAAACCCCTAACGGGAGGGATTGTGCTTGATTTTCATATGATGAAGACATAATCATTCAATCAGTTTAATTGAAGTCTGGAGCTGGCATGTCAGTAACTGCTAGTAGTCCTTTGTAAATTTATGTTCATCATTGTCTGTTTGCTAAGTTTCTTCTGTTACCTTATCTAACATCGGACTCGGACTTCTTTTAAAATGAATTTTACTGTACGTATTGCTTTGTGTTTTTTTTCCACATTGGCTTGAGGTATAGGAGGAGGGTTGAGATATCACAAAATATGTTTAACCCTCCGCATTTTTGCGTCTGTTCCAAGACATGAACCTCTGGCCTTTGTTAGTCTTGTATAGTTTTTTTGAAATTTTGGTTCATTTATGTGTTTCGGAGTTAAGTGTGACGTCCATTTTCGTTTAACTAGTATACATTTTTAAAGGGCCAGCTGAAGCCCGCTTCCGGGTGAGGGATTGTATTACTGTGTTGAAGACCCATTGGTGGCCTTCAGCTATTTTCTGCTCTTTGGTCGGGTTGTTGTCTCTTTGACACATTCCCCGTTTCCATTTTCAATTTTACATCATGTTCGATTTCATCTATGTTTGATATAAAAATAAGATGTCGTATAACTGCCAATGAGACAACTCCCTACCAGAGACCAAATGGCATAGACGATAACAACTATAGGTCAACGTACGGCATTCACCTTTGTTCTATTCCATGATTGGAATATACGTTTTCGTTTCTGTGCTTGAATTGTGTACTAAGACGACCTAATGTCATGGTCGCTGTTAGCAATAGCTGGAATCGGTTTACATCTTTGCTTAAAGTTCGAATGGCTAGTCAAGATTATGTCAAGAGTTATTTTCTTTTTTTTTCTTTTCTTGTGTAGAAGTTTACTTTTTGTTCAATTAATTTCTGTCACTATGTCCAAAAAGGTTTTAGTTCACTTTGGATGGATACTGTGTATCATTTATGGCTAACTTTTCCCAGTTGATATCTGGAATGTTAGATTCTCCACCGATAATCAGGATGTTATTTTTTGTATTTTAAGCGGTAGCATTCATTTGGAGTATATTCTAAGTACTCGTTGTCTGTTTTATTGGGAGGTCTATAGTATGATGCCAATGTGATTTTCTTTGAATTAACTGTTATTTCTCCACTGATCATTTCAGTAGCTTTACTTTTGTGTACATTTTGTAAATGGAGATGCTTTTCGGTTGTAATGAGAACACCTCCATGCCAATCGGTTAGTCATCTCTTCGTTGGATAATATAATCAAGGTCATTTCGTAATATTTGATGCTATGGTGTCGTCAAGCCAGGTTTATGTTCCCAGTATGATATCGGGATCTGTATCTTTTATGATGAGCTCTAATAGCTTTCCTTTCTTCCCGAGACTTTGAACATAAACGTTCAAGATTCGTAAGCACTTCATATTGATTGCTCTGTTCAATATCTTTGATTTTGGTTTTATAGGTGATGATGTAGTGATCCTATTTGTCTCTAGTAGTATATCAAAAGTTTATCTTGCGTTTATTTGTACTGTATACCTGTCACGTAGTGTTGTCATTTTAGCGGTATTTTAAACATTGCCATATAAGCGGAAGGTTTGGCTAGCCTTAAAACCAGGTTCAACCCACCATTTTTTCTTAAAATGTCCTGTACCAAGTTAGGATTACGGTAGTTGTTATCTACAGTCCGTTTCCATGTATGATGGCGTTTGCTTTTGTTGTAGTTCAGTGTTTCTGTTGTTCCGTTGTTTTCTTCTTATAGTTGATGTGTTTCCCTCGGTTTTAGTTTGTGACCCGGATTTGTTTTCGCTTAATCGAATTATCACTATTGAATAGCGGTATACTACTGTTGCCTTTATTTAGTCTTGTTCTGTGTTTACAGTTGATCTGGTTTAGTAAGTAATACTGGATGTTGATGGAAGAGATGAATATGACTCTCGCTGTTAATTAATGATGGACGTTCAGATTGATTTGATATTTTTTTTATTGGAGTTCTTTCCATCAAGTTGAGGTAAAGGCTAAACTACTAATGAATTATTAGGTGAAGCACAGCTGGGGCATTTCATGTATCGCTGCTGTTACCAAGTCAGTTGATGTCTGTTGTCGACATTCCAATACATGTCTTGTACAGCCATTGATCACATTCATCACATGCTATTGACTGGAGATTACAAGTTTTTTCCATATACCACATGGAAATTTTGGACGCCTTGGTCCAGTATTTGGTGCAATGTCACTTATCAGTACTTATATAAACCTGTGTCCTGATGTTGCTATACCATTGGTGTAATTTAATAAATATCGGTATTTAATATGACGAAGCCAATAGTATACATTCAGTCTTGTTGACAAGTTTTTGTGAGTCACAAAGGACACATTTTGATGATCTTTATATTGGACACGGTTGTAATTTAAATTTGTGCAATGCTGTACTTGTTGGTTGTTAATGTTTTGCCACATTATATATACGAATAATATCAGCAATGATCTATACTGTTTACATTTGGATTCATATTTGCTGCCATTACGGTCTGTATGCTACATTTTTGACTACGGATACAAGTGTATTTGACTGTTTTACGATGTATATTACGAATCTGGTTATTATGTTGGTATAGTGTATGTTTCGTGAATGCATAAACCATACATTTGAGTTCCTGGTCCTGAAACGAATACATTTTTCGAGCTAAGAAAGAATTCGACTGTCTTGTCACGCAATCTTTATTTTCCACTGTTAATCTATCATTTGACTATTTATCTCCATTATTTCATACAAATACTTAAATCATAGTATTATGGAATCAGTGTAAGATAAGCTATGCTCGAACTCAGAAAGTTACTATTTTTCTTCATTTGTTTATAAACAAATCTGCATATTTTTATAATATTATCAACACTTAAGAATGTGAAGGTTGTTTATAATTCACACCTGTAATTATTTCTAAACTTAAGGTTGGAAACTCCCTCTGAAACTATTTAGCTTATGCCATTTTTGTTCTTGGGTGTTCTATTTATTTTGTTATCCAATCGTTTTGCCCTTACACAAAGTTCATTCGTTTGATTGATTGATTGATTGATTGACTGTCGGTGTTTAATGGTACTTTCAGTACTATTGGCTATACGGTCAATTTTTATTGGTTGAGGTTGTGCCCAGAGAGAACCCCCGACCTTCGGCATGAAAACTGAAAATCCTATTCAATTAAGATTGGAGTCGAAAGCACCTGCCACGTGCGGAGTTAGAATGCACAACCTCAGTGCTGACAGGCTAGTGATACAAATACAATTGACAGCAACCGAGGCCCCTAAGTTCGTTCGAGAATTGTTTATAAGCTAAAATCTTTACATATTCAAGAGCTAGACATACTTAGACAAAGGCTGTAAAAAGAATAGGCAAAACCGCCTATTGAAAGATACTAGTTTTCTATAGTATATGTATTGGGATTCATTCCGAAATATTAAAAGTTCTATATGAATTACGTGTTGCTTTGTCGTTTAGTTTTAGAACCGTATTTTATTTTTTAACTACATGTATGGGAGACTGGGGTTGACTGAGACAGCGACTGGAAACGCCTCTTTATAGAAGAAATTACGGCATATTTTGAAAGTTTTTGAGGCGTCCTTTTTAAATTTCCATTACTACCTGTTAGATAGGAATTAACTGATCCGTGTGTTTATTCTGCACATTATGCCATTAAATTGAAAGTAACTTGAAAGATATTTACTAAATACCTCGTTCATTTACTTCGGACTTACCACTAAAGAAGTAATACGACTAGCATATGAATGTGCAAACAAGTTCAGTATTCAAATGCCGCAGCCATGGATTGAAAATAAGTGCGCAGGGGTTGATAGGTTAGATCTATTTATGCGGAATCAACCTAATCTGCAAATAAGAACTCCGGCAGAAGCCAAAGTCTTTTTAACCCCCCCCTCAAAAAAAGAAACATTTTTTCTCGAGGAATCAAGATTGGTTACATACAATTGATTTAAAGATTTTATCGTATATTATCATAATGTCCGTTGAGTTTCAGATATTTGGTCTAGGGCACACATATAACAACACAGAAAGCAAAGTTAACATGTACAGTTGGGAATGTAAACAGGGCTGCCATTACTGTATGTATGTCACAACTTACCCCACCCTCTGTCACAACCTACCCTGCATACGGGGTAGGTTGTGACATGCGAAAACCTCCATCAAATCGTCAGATGTGACTAAAGAAGCAGCCTTAGAGGATTTAAACCCTTTTTTAAATGTGCACGAGATGTTGTTTTAGTTTGCTAGATCTAGTGAGAAAACTGCGTACAGTCGATTTGTAGATATAAAGTTCATAAACAAAAACGTGAAAAGTGTCTCATTCATCCCCGGTCTCCCATATATATCACCTTGACTTACATGTCAGTTAACATATAAGGTTTTGTTTTATCCTAAAACTATTGTATTTATTTTCCAAATGATACATCTACAGGCTTCAGCCGCAATAAAGCGTTTTGTCCTTAGATGGCTTCAAGCAAACATCAACCTATATAAGATTGTGTAAAAGTTAAGTACACATAGAATTTTGGAACACATACACCAAAACAGGATAGATTAAAGCATCAGTAATAAGGTCAACGTTTTAGGGAATTTTTGAACCGTCACTAGAACAAAAGTATGTGAATAGCTGTGAAGAGCATATTTCAAACTGAAGGTTACGGTTCTTACAAATAACATGAATATAACATTTACATTCATCACGTTGATAATGAAATGCATTCCCTCTTTTGATTTACAAGTTCATATTTTTTCTATGCTTTATTTTTGTAAAGCATTGGTGACGGCTACATCTGGACTGGTGCTCATCGTTATTCGGAAACCAGTAGTTGGAAATGGGCTGATGGAACAAGCGTCTCCGGTTACAAATGGTGGCCAGGTAATATTAACACCGGGAAGTTGTAATAGAGATGACCAGGATATTGACGAACGAACGTATCTCGACGAACGGACGTAATAGGAGAGGTAATTGTATGTTTACAAAACGTACTTTAAACTTAACGATGTTATTATTTGGATGGCATGTAATCGTGATAATAGAACGACACGCATAAAACATACCGATGTTAAAAAGGTTTTCATAATATATATGAAAGACGTTTTAAAGTCTCCGTAAGTGTAACATATCTACTACGATACAATGAGATTATTATCGTTGAAAGCATGATGAAATGTACATCACACATAAGATTATTTGAGTGCTCCGACGACTTTCGCAATGCTCAAACAAATAGTGATTCAGGATTTGGAAGATTTGAAACAATTATTAAAATTATAAGATTACTAAATAACTGTTGTCGGTCGGTTTGTATGTTTGTTCAATGTTTTTTATTGGATATTAAAGTTTCAAACCTCCCCCCCCCCCCCCCCCCCCCGCCAAGGGTGACTGGGGAATAGAAATATAGTCATTACAGGTCTTCTTCCGATCCGCAGTAAAACCTTTTCCAAAGTGGGGCGTCCGTTTGGCAATGCAGGATGTACAAGTACTCAGCTACATCCGGACAGAATGGCGATGTTAAATCCGATGCCTCATGTAGAGAGATTGTCAAACCCTTGCAACAATTTTATGAGAGGTATACGTAGGTGGCCTTTTGCAAGGATAAATTTCTTTTCCAATATATACCCTCGGTTTGCAAATGTAATCTAAACTTTCCCGACCTATGGGATAAATTACTTTGTATTTATTGTTAATTTGTTCTCGTTCTAAACATGGATGTAAAATTATTTCATTTCTCCTTAAATATTGTTCTTGCACCTGTACAGGAAGTTTTATCTAGCACTTATTGTATAGTTTTATTGTTGATATTCACCCCATATGTACCAAGTGTTAGATTAGTTTTATTGATATTAAAGAAATTTCTTGGTATTCCTAAACGGAAGATTTTCTACACACAGAAGAAGAAGTATACTTAACAACAAAATTATTTTCATTTACCTGTGTATAATATGACGCAGGTTTTTTCAAAAGTGATGATTTTCTAAATATTGTTTAACATTTCACAGTGGTATCATACTTTAACTTTGTTTAAACCTGTTTATTTACTTTTGACCTTAATTATTTATCCCTTATAAATTTTATTAACTATGTATTTGCATTCAGGTATCACAGATCAAATTTATTCGTTCATTGTGTGTTAATTTACGTTTTTTGATTGAGTTAAGCCTTCCAATTGATATTTTATAGTGTGTCTTTCTATGTTGTGATGTTATACTATTGTTTCAGAAAAGGGAGAAAGTTTGGTACCATTAAAACGTTTAATCCCGCTGCAAATGTTTGCACCTGTCCTAAGTCGGGAATCTGATGTACAGTAGTTGTCGTCTGTTTATGTAGTTCATACGTGTTTCTCGTTTCTCGTTTTTATATAGATTAGACCGTTGGTTTTCCCGTTTGAATGGTTTTACACTGGTAATTTTTGGGGCCCTTTATAGCTTTCTGTTCGGTGTGAGCCAATGCTCCGTGTTGAAGGCCGTACCTTGACCTATAATTGTTTACTTTTATAAATTGTTACTTGGATGGAGAGTTGTCTCATTGGCACTCATACCACATCTTCCTATATCTATGAACTATTTGCAACTGGACGTTTAGCAACAAACAATAGATCAATCAATCAATCAATCAAATTTCAAACAGACAAATCTTTCAATTAACAAAAAAAAAACAAAAACATATAGTATTTTGAACCAGTTAAAAATAATGATTTCGGGGTGTTTTTTATTTATCATATTTGTCAACCTCTGAGGATGGCAAAACTTATTAGGTGTAAAAAAAAACCACTAGTCATAAGAGTAAATAACGTTTTTTTTTAAGGGGATTTAAATTGACACAAGGGTCCATTTATAACGCACACAAAGACAACTTTAAATACTTACAACTATAAAAATTTTAATCCTCTCCAATATGCACATACTCATGGCATCCTCTGACATGTTTTTTTTGCGATTGTTGAAATACGTTTCAATTATTTAATTATTTCAAGTTTCTTTGACTTAACAAAATACCCAGAAGGCAAATGATATGATCAGTAATAAATATTATTTTGATGATGGTACGTCAACCTTTTTTTTATTTCGGAATGTTGATATATTGCCTTTCCGTTTTGCTAAGCTCGCGTGGGAAAATATGGTATATCTGTCCTCCCAATAATAAACCTATAGGTCTTTTTTTTATTAACTTTTAGAATGTAGAAACTATTTCGGCTAGTTATATACCTATTGGTATAGTGTAGAAAACAGTTAACATGAAATCACTAGTAAATAAGTTATTTTGTACCTATCAAAAACTTAAGTTTTGTCCCAATTTCAACATGAGTAGAGAACAAGCCATAGTAGTTGGAAACATGTCACAAAAATTAGTTGCCGTAAGTATGTTTAAATCAAAATTTCAAAATGATATTCTCCTTATCTTATCATATTTTACCATAATGTGATACTCAGCAAGGTGAAACGTACTTTATATCCATGTGAACGCGTGAGTAGGATGATCTGGTCCAACTTTCCTAGAGTTATATCCGTTTTTACCAAGAAAGTTGGACCCTAACCAGTATGCAACTCATGTGACGTGGTCTGTTGGATAATTTGAGCGTTTTTACATGAGTCTGTTGTTGTTTTCGGTCTGTAAACTCGTTGATTTCCGCATGGATTTGCAATTAGTAAATGTAATGAGCATCAAAGATGCAATAGCCGAGTTGCAACTACAATTTGATTATCAATATATCAATTTCTTTTGAAGTACATGTATCAACTTTTTATCACAAAATATTCGTAAAAAATCTTTTGTCTACACATTATTTTTTTTTTTAATTTGGGCAGAGGTTCTCTACATCTAGCCTAATTCGGTTGGTCTGGGGGCATAAGCCAACTAAAATTAGTGAGAAAATAAACTGATTTGAAATTGATCATCAATCATATCAAAATAAAAGCGTCAATATCTATGCTATCACCCTTGTATTAACTCAGTAACTCATTTAAATCCCTTTTGGAACCTCATTGTCAAAACAGAGTTTTATATATATCGAATGCACCTTTTTCTATTGTAGAAAACATTACGTTATTAATTATCAATTCAACGTGAGGAGTTAATTATACAGAGACAGGAAATATCTCATGTAAACTTAATACAGACGATGCGAATTACTTAACTTCAACATGCGTTTTTATGTTAGATTTATGTTTTTAATATACAATGAATAAACAGCAGCTCCCGTTTCGTACGATTCGTCACGCTTTCGTACGTTCGTTCGTCAATATCCTGGTCATCTCTAATTAGCGATAATATCATCCGTCGATAGACTTAATTTAAAATGAAACTATGAAAGACAATAATAATATGAAACAATAAAGTTGAAAGCACAATATTATTCTAAACATATTAACATGTATGAACCCGAGGTAATAAAGGATTTTACTACCATGGCATTGATTGTAGGTGAACCAAATGATGCCGGTAATGAAGACTGTGTAATAGTCAATAAAGGAGGCTGGAATGATGAGAGTTGTAGTGATCCATTCCAGTTTGTATGCCAGTGGCGTAAGTATTAGATTGTTTAATTGATGCTCATAATGTAAAATCTTAATTCCTTCTTTTCCAAAACAAAACATAAATGTACCCCCCCCCCCCTTTTTCCTCCAAAAAATATAATAAAACAATATTGTGTAAAAATGAATAAATAACTAAAATAAAATGTCATCACAATTTTATGAAAAACGCGATCATGCATTAATATAGTTTTTAAGATTTTTTTCATGTGATAACGTACCTAAAGTAAAAGTTATCAACGATATTTTTTTTTAATTCGTGAACACGTGCAGATAATAATCGTTATCACAGATCGCTATATTTCTTGATAAGAGATTAAAATCGTTATAAAACAAGCAAGCATTTTATGATTCATTACAAAGAGATAAATTTAATTCACTGCAAATGATTTATTTATGATAAATTGGTGCAACGAGCTAAATTTAATTCACTATTTATTTATTATAATTTGTTTCAAGTAAATGCTTAAGTAAACAGTCCATATCAACATACCCGTGCTGATAAGCATCATCATGCGACCGTATGTATACGGTCATTAAAGATTGCATATTTTGGCTTTAATATTGATTCACTTATAGGGTCTTTGCATCGGAATTAAACATATTTATTCTGAAACCAGTTGTTGGCATGACACGGGTTATGTTCTTCTCATATATTTTATGAAGGTATAATACTAAACCCCTAACAGGAGGGATTGTGCCTGATATTCATATGATGAAGACATAATCTTTCAAACAGTTTTAATGAGTTCTGGAGCTGTCATGTCAGTAACTGCTAGTAGTCTGTTGTTATTTATGTATTATTGTCATTTTGTTTATTTTCTTTTGTTTCCTATTCTGATATCGGACTCGGACTTCTCTTAAACTGAGTTTTACTGTGCGTACTGTTGTACGTTTGTTTTTTCTACATTGGCTAGAGGTATAGGGGGAGGGTTGAGATCTCAAAAACATGTTTAACCCCGCCGCATTTTTGCGCCTGTCCCAAGTCAGGAGCCTCTGGCCTTTGTTAGTCTTGTATCATTTTTAATTTTAGTTTCTTGTGTATAATTTGGAGTTTAGTATGACGTCCATTATCACTGAACTAGTATACATATTTGTTTAGGGGCCAGCTGAAGGACGCCTCCGGGTGCGGGAGTTTCTCGCTGCATTGAAGACCCATTGGTGGCCTTCGGCTGTTGTCTGCTCTATGGTCGGGGTTGTTGTCTCTTTGACACATTCCCCATTTCCATTCTCAATTTTATGTATATGCAATGTTGGTCACTTTCTTTACTTGATTATTCTATTTATTTGGGGGAAATTGATTAATGTTAGTATTATTTATAGTTCCGTAACTATTTCTCCCGAGACCGGCCATGTAAATATTCTTGTCGGGTTACTTCCTGTCTCTTGCACGTGCCTGACATCCCGGCCGGGCTCGTCCCTAGGAACTATGAATATGACGTCACTCACCTGGTTCAGGGCAGTCTACAGATGAGGATTTGGAATGAGCAGACGCTCATACTTGGGCTTGCATATATGGAACTCTCACAATGACAAGCAGACAAGCCGCCACCGTATTGTAATATTTCTTGTATGTTATTATATTCAACCATATATGTTTTTTAGAATAAACATCTTGATTATATTTACGTAGTTACGTAGTTTGTCCAATATTGCAGAACATCCCAGAACTTTGGTAGACAACGGGAAGACGACGAAGTCTGTTGGGAACCCACTCCCGTTACATATAGTTGTTGTTGAAAAATAATATCAGAGTAAAATCTGGTTTCAAATGATCCCTCAAGGAACAAACGGAATTCTATTTCAAGATTAAGCAACGGAAAATCAGCATTTAAACCGGGATAAACTGTTCATCTTCATACGAGAAGCCATTGCCGTATGGTATTTCTACCTTGTATTTTGACAGGATTGGTGAATATGTGTATACAAATTATTAAAATTCTAAATATTATTCCCTGATTTTTAATAGCAGTCTGATTTCTGTCTACCCGAATAGTTAATAATTTCAAATAAAGGTTAACGGTACACGGATATTCTTTTCCGAATGGTCTGGTTATCACATTGAAAAATAACAGATAGAATATCAGTTTGGTTTTCTTCTTGCATGAAACCTAGAAAAGGAAGTATATAATAAACAGATTAATACATGACCGTTTCAATATCGACGCGGTTATCATCCCTCGATCCATATCTGACCCTCAGCTGGCGCTACTTGGGGACAGGCTGATAGGGAGTCTAAATTTGATATCCGGGTCGATGTGTAAAATATAATGTATTTACACACATAACTCATTAATATTGGCATGCGCTTTTCTGCTTTGGACGTGTAAAATATCTCTCACTACAAATGGATTTTTTGCTGGGTAAGGTATATGTTGATGTTAAAACTTGTTTCGTAGCAAACAGACTAGTTATGTCATGTAAAAACCTCGTAATACATACTAATCAAAAACATTTGAGAAATTTTTAGAAACACTCATGCGACTCGCTCTTATCAAAACAAAAGTAATAACAATGGCGACTTCCATGGCTCGAGACAATTAACACAGTTCTGACAATTTGATAACGAATTTGCAACCTAATAATGCATCATCATCTCTAGATACTAACAAAAGGTCTAACCTAGATAGCCCAGACAACCTCCATGCAACCCAAAAGCAAAATACACGACAGGTTAACCGTTTCTGGTGACCTTCGAGATATCGGGGGGGAAAAACGCAACACGAAAAATACTACAGACAAGTTTTTTGAAGCACTTACCATTCTAGATGTTCTCAATACGATAATTCCAGTGTTAGCTGAAAAAAATAATCAGTAAACCTTAACTCCACTAATTGAAGAACAAGTGTAAAAATACATTGCTGCACATAATGAGCCGATTCAAGTCTATCGATAAAAATGAAAGAAAAATACATCAAAACACAGTGAAGAAAATGCATATAACTCATATGGAAAGATAGAATAGACACACATGGACATTTGGGATTCCGTGCTTGAGGCATTCCATAAACAAATAAAAGATATGGATAGTATGGATAGTACACTACCAAGAATTATATCACATTTTTATTATACATTTTTACCCTCTTGTAAATCAGTACTGAACGGCTTCATGATAAAAAATTGTAATGTTCTACTTTTGGTATATTCAGTACTGATTTTTTCAGTACTGTAACAGTACTGTTTTCTACAGTATTGTAACAGTGCTGATTTTTTCAGAACTGTAACAGTACTGATTTCTACAGTACTGTAACAGTACTGATTTTTGCTGTACTGTAACAGTATTGATTTTTGCTGTACTGTAACAGTACTGATTTCTACAGTACTGTAACAGTACTGATTTTTGCAGTACGGTAACAGTACTGTTTTTGTCAGTGTATTTCATAGACTAATTTGTTTCCCTATCGAATCAGTACTTACTTTTTAGTGCTCACCTATTATTTATCAATCATTTCTCTTCTATTTAGGTAAGTGAATCTATTATCAATTCACATCATCAAAATGGAAGTTTCTGTAGCCAACATGTATTTTTAAGAGAAAATCTATGGATTTTAATTAGGAAATTTGATGCTTTAAAGACATAATAATTATTCAAGTACTTTTTTCGTTGATTTTGTGTGGTTTCTATACAAATGTTTACTTATTTTTAGAAAATTCAATCAGTGATATTTCATACAATAACAGAGATAAATTTATTATGTTTTGGAAAAATCATAGGTACTTGGGGACTGACACCTTTTTTTTTTTTTGGCCCTCCCCCTTTTTTCCAAAATCCGTTATTTTTTTGTTTTCCATTAATTTCAATTATTTTCGCTTTTCACTGTATAATATGAACATAAATATACTAGAAATAACTTGTATTTGCTATTTACTATCAATTCCAAGTTTACTATCCACAGCGGTCACTGAGATATTATATAGAGATAAGGTATCTCACTTCGTACTTTATCACCTATTTTCCTACGTGAATTCTAAGAGGAATCCCAATTCTAATTCATTAAATAATTAATTTTCTTTTGGGTCAGTGGACATGACTCGTTTTCGCAAACATTCCTCTTCTTAAAGTGCCGGCACTTTTAATACAATTCGACGTCTATCGACAGAACGGATCAATTTTGCTCGTCGTGTCGTCGTATTTTGATTATTAATTAACGTCAGTATTGTGTTGGCGACAACTCTAAATCCGGTTCTTTGCAACAAATGTTCCGAATGTTATTGAAGAGCACGATAAGGTACGAGAGTACGTCATAACAGTGCAAAGTATAGATAAACTTGAACTTTGGTGGATAGTTGTCTCATTGGCAATCATTCCACATCATCCTATTTTTATATCTACTAGAATACATCGACATCGTGGGTCCGTGAATAAATTGAAGTACATGTACCTACGACTTATTGTTAGCCTTGATTTAAGTCATCTGATAAAGTCATGCTGATTATAAGAGAGGCGTATTGGGTTTACGTGGGCGCGTTGCATTTGTGCCAATTTCAACAAAATCCAATCTTTCATTTGCGCCACAAGGTTATATTTCATTTGCGCTATTTTACAGCTATATAACATATAACAGAAAAGTTTAAAATATTCATTGCTACATCGTGAATAAGATTTTTTTTTAGAGTATTCCCCCTCGGTAACTAAGTAAGTTCATACTCGTTTCTAAAATAAATGTGAGAGTCACTTAGGTTTAAAACTATATGGTGTTCACATGTTTTAGGTATCAATATGGACATTGTCAATTCTGAGACAAATTCTCAATTGGATTGTTTCATATTTTTCATGTCGGGGCAGTTCATAGCCGACTATACGGTGTGGGTTTTTCTTATTTTTGATATAGAAGAAATAAGTCTGTATTTTTTTATGACCACACAGACAGGTTATCCAGTGTACATCAGTACATCCGAGGCGTTGCTTACAAGTCTTGTGTCAGAACAAACTTTTTGTTTTACTCCAGTGTATATATAGTTCTTTCTTTTATGTTTTATGATCTCGTT